CTAGGAGGCCTCGTGGAGGAGGACATGCTTGCAGTTAAAGCACAGAGCCTGGCCCCATTGAAGTCCATTGCAAAACTTCCATAGTCTTCAATGGAGCCACTATTTCCTTCCTTGGGAAAAATAACGCATTCTGTGCTGTTGGACCCATCACTTTCCCCCTTTGTGCCTCAGTTTCCTCAGGGACAAAAGGAGGAAAACGACACCTATCCCATTAATGTTAATGAGCTCCTCACACGGGCGAAAGCGTTGGACAAATCAACATATCTAGCTGCTCCATTGCACAGAGGAAGTGCTTATGCTGCCCCCATCACCACAGGGATGTATTAATACCCCCACTTTACAGGGGAAACTGAGATAGAGACCTAGGTCTCTGCACCTGCAGCTCCCCTGAACTTCAGCTGGAGCTCTGGGTACTCAGCACCTCTGAAAATCAGGCCCCTCGGATATGTCCATACTGATAAAAGACCCGCAGTTGGCCCACATCCGTTCACTGGGGCTTGGGCTGCAGGGCTACAAAAATGCGGTGCAGAGCTCAGGGTCAGGTTGGCGCCGGGGTTCTGAGACCCCCGCGAAGGGGGCGGGTCCCTGAGCCCAAATGTCTACACTTCAATTTTATAGCCAGGCAGCCTGAGCCGAGTCAGCTGACGTGGGCCAGCCACGGGTATTTAATGCAGTGCAGACATTCCCTGAGTGACTTCTCCAAGGTTACACGGGAAACCTGTGGCAGAGCTTGGAAATCACCCCAGCTCCCCTGAGTCATAGGCCAGCACCTTAGCCCCAGGACCATCCTTCTTCTGCAGCATCCAAACGCTACAGGCCAGATTTTGCAAGCCTTATTTATGTTAGCGAGCGCTTATGCTGCGAGTAGGCTTCCTGATGTCAATGGGACTGCTCATATCCTCAAGGTAAGGGGGACAGAATCTGACAGTATATTAACATCACTGGAAGCGCTAGCGTTGTGCATCATTACTGTACGCTGCTCCAGTGTTGTCTTTTATATTGACTTTGTGTCCCTTCAAAGGATAATTTGGATCTGCCCAGAGTCATGTCAACTGCCAAGTGAAGTGACTCCTAATAAGAAGAGATTCTGAAGCTACTTAGCAGGAAATTACTGTACATGAGGTTGCTAAGCAATGTCAGAGTGTCCGTGAACACCCAAGATAATGCTTCTGCAATCTGAGAACAGGGGAGGGGCTGGAAGGGGGTTGTTTGGTGGCTTTTAAATTTTGCATGGAGTTGTGACTTCGGGATCCAAGCAAACAATATGCTTTCTATAATCATGTCTAATGCAACAATTATTGGCTTTGGGAAACGTAGCTGTCCCCAGAGAGCAGCAGAGAGGAAGAGCTGAGTCAGGAGCCAGAAGGAAGGAAAGGAAATGGAGAAAAAGGACGGAGGATGAGGAGATACTGATTCCAAGAGAATAACATGAAGAAGAGAGAGAAAAATAAAAAGGCGCCGAAAGAGAGACAGTGGGGTAAAGAGAACCACAAAGTAGTAAAGAGGATTTAGGCAAGTTTCCAAATGTATAATTAGAGGGATGTGAAATGGAGACATTAGAATACAGAACAGGCTAGACCTAATGCACCATAGATTTGTCTTTATTTAGAAATCTATTGAAGCTAATAGCATTTTTGCCATTAGCTTTGAGGACTGAGGGTTGGGACTTTGTTTTAGCAAGAAAAGCCCTTGAACCTCCTAGACTCCTGGCAACCATGGGTCTGAATCCCAACACGGTCAACTGAGCCCTGCACCCTTCTGTGGGAGATAGAGTGGGCTAGATCCTCAGCTGGTGTAAAACAGCATAGTTCCATTGACTTCACTGAGCAGGCCCAGTGCGTTCGGTGCAGTTCACTAGTGGGGAGGGATGCCAGCACTCCAGAGATCCAGTATATTGGCGTGGAAATTAAATACCCCATGGCATTTTTTTTACCCCCTTGATTCCCTCTCTCCATCTCCACAGCACTGCGCTGGTCCCGGCTGCTAGCTGCTGCCCTTCTTCCCCAGAAGTGGCTGCATTTCAGTGATCCCTCTATGCATTGAAGGTATCGTATTGATGTACACTATTGTTTTGTCCCAGCAGCATTCCATCCTGAACAGGCATAATCTGGAGATCTCAGGGTGAACAGTGCCATCTATCCCTTTAAGAATAAGGCAGGCTCCCAGCTCCCAGGGAAAATGCATTGCAGAAGCTGTAAAATCCTGCCACTGTTTACTGGGACAATCCATTTGTCACAATGAAACCAAAGCCAATCTGAGATGGACTGCACGCACAGACTCTGCTACTCGCTGGGGGTGATGCAGAGTTTAGAGGCTGGACTGAGGTGTGGTGCATGTTGAAACAGCAGCAAAGTGCAGCACTCCCGTTCAGACCTAGTAACTTGTAGACTCTCTGTGTTCAGATCTAGTAAGTTGTCTCTGTGTCAGAAATTAAAAACTGACTTCATTGGTTTAGAGGGCTTGAAAGACTGGGAGCTTTGCTAGTATGATCCAGTCGGTGTATGTGATAATGCATCTTTCATGGTATTTGATTATTATTATTGACATAGTCTAAATATTCCCATAGGAATCTGCTTTCTGCTAAGGTAGAGAGCTGGAGTCTGTGGGCCTGACGCTGAACCTATTAACGTCCATGGAAAAGCTTTCAGTGACTTCAAGGAGGAAGAGGAGCAGACACTTTGTTGGCCTATTATTTATTGCTCTTTCTTCGTCATGTCAGGTGAAATTTCACCCCCTGTGCAGAGTCTGCCCAATGCTTACAGAGACTTTAAGTAGGAGAGCAGGGGCATAGGCCTTGGCAGGCCCTCGGCATGGGAGTGAATTTCAACCCACAGTTGGCTTGAACAAACTGCAGCAGAGAGCACCAAATGGGCTAGGGTGACCAGATGTCCCGATTTTATAGAGACCGTCCCGATTTTGGGGTCTTTTTCTTATATAGGCTCCTATTATCCCCCACCCCCGTCCCGATTTGTCACATTTGCTGTCTGGTCACCCTAGGGCAGACAGTAGGTGGTGAGAGCCTTGGAGCCAGTGGCCTAGGAGGTAGAGAAGATGGGGGCTGTGACACTCACAAGCTCATCCCCTAACCAAGAACTGAAATGGCAACAGTGTTCCCATCAGCCAGAAATGAGGCCTGCAGCCCTGTAGAAATGTGATTGACAGGGAGAGGAGCCAAAGACTAAGGAGATGTTGCCTGCTTAAAAGTGCTTGGGCCCTGGCCCTGGTGGTGCCTCCCTGGCCCCACGGTCTACGTCCTTGGATGAGAAATGAAAATGGATGGAAAAGTACAGGGAGGCCGCTCCAGCAGGCAGGAAACTTTCCATTTACATCAGCGGGCTTTGGCTCAGGCCGTATATTTTGGGTGCCCGATGGTTTTGTAACTGTTCCTCTCGCTAAAGAAGGGCAGACCTGAACAGGGAGGGATGTGTGCAGCCGTTAGCAGCAGTGCAGCCGTTCAGAGCACTGTCTGTGAGTTGTCAGTGCTCAGGGCCCTGCTACTGAAGAGTGGAAAAGAAAGCAGCTCCTAGGCCGAGAATGATGCTGAAAAGACCCTTTAAGAGTTTAGCCTGGAGCAAGTATCTCTTGCCCTGCAAGAATTTAAATTATTAAAATTAATTTGTACATGTGCATCAGAAACATGGCTGGTTCGTTTTGTCTAGAGAGAGAAAACAGAAGCTGTTAAATCTAAGTGAGAGGCCACCCCATGTTCTGATTTAAGTTACTTTCCCTCTGGGAGAGTCAAATCCTGTTTCTTCTTTCCTCACCTCTGCACCCCACACAGGCATACCCTCTGTAAACAGCTGGCTTTGGAAATGAACCACTGGGATGTTTGAAAGGTACTGCACAGAGCTTCCTTTTCTATCAGGCTCTTTCCTTTGTATATTAATCTTTTCAGCTGTAGATCCCAAAGGAAAGTCAGCAACATTCTCCTTCTTTTTACAGATGGGAAACTAAGGCACAGAGCAGGGAAGTGATTTGTCCATGGTCACCCACCAGGCCAGTAGCAGAGCCAGGGCTGGAATGCGGGGTGGCCTGACTGCCAGCTCGGTACCCTCACTGCTGGACTATTCCACCTCCCAAGAAATTATACGATTGCTTTTATCTGATAGGTAACAAGGCAACTCATTATTTACTAATAAGCACAGACTCCATGATCAGTGTAGGTGGCATAAAAATAAGACCTTGCATACCCATCACTGAACATTGTGCTATCGTGGTGTCTCTCTCTGATCAGATACAGGGATAGATACGGGTTTTATATGGTGCTTCTCTAATCCACCCCCCTTCCTCCAGGGAATCTTTGCACAATACCCAGTGGGACAAATGCCCCAAACAAACATTATTTTTGTCATTACTAGGACAGCACATAGATGCACCAACCCAGATTGGGGCCCCACTGCGCTAGGTGCTGCATAAACCCCCAGGAAGACACAGCTCCTGCCCCAAAGATCTCCCAGTCTGCAGAGACAAGACAGACCAAGGAAGAAACAGGTGCATGGAGGTATGAAGAGCCTGGGCCCCAGTCCTCTGAGGCCAAGGGCAAGACAATTGCAGTGGGTGTTGGATCCCATGACTTGCCCAAGGTCACACAGGAAGCCTGTATGGGCACCAGGACCTGAACTCAGCTCTCCTCAGCCCTTAACCGCCAGCCAAGTGCAGCCTGATCTCCCCCCCCCAGTGCAGAGAAGTTGCTAGGGGGTGTTTCTCTTCGGGCTAAAGGCCCTGCCGGAGGGGACGGACCCTCCTGGGGAGCTGCAGGGGGAGGCGGAGAAGCCGGCCCTGCTCCCGGGCTCGGGGGCTCTCTATTGCCGCGGCTGCAACGAGGAAGCCGCTGCTGGCGGTGCAGGGTCGCAATAGCCCCGCCGTCCCCCCGGCCTGTCCCGCGTCTCCCCCCGGGCTGCGCGGCCGCAGCGCACCCCGCGGCAGCCCCCCTCCCTCCCGCGCGGGGTCCCCCCTCCGCCGTGCTGCTGAGCCCCGCCCCTTCCCCGGGAGCCGCTCCGCCCCTCCTCCCTGCGAGCCGGCCGGGCTGGGGCTGCGGGCAGAGGCGGCCGGGCTGCTGGCGGGGGCGGCTGCGCTGCCCCGGGGAGGGAGGCGCTGAGCCGCGGGGCCCGAAGCAACTTCCCATCTCCCCGGAGCCCGGCTCCGGCTGCTGCTGCGCGGGGGAAGCGCCCGGGCTGGAGAGCGGCGGGAGCCGGGAAAGTTGGAGCCCGGGGAGGAGGCGGCTGCGCGCTCGGATGCCGCCCGCCGCCTCGGTGCCCCCGCAGATCGCCGGAGCCCGGCGTGGGCTCCTGCCCTGGGAGCGGCAGCGGGACTAGGAGGGATGCTGCTGTGGACCGTGGCCACCAGGCAGAGTGGGGTTTCCCGGGAAATGTTTCTGACCATCGCTGTCTGGCTGGCTTGGCAGGAAACCTCCGCGGCGCCGACCCCTACGGCCGAGGACCTGAACCTGGGAGTTGTAAGTTGCAGCCACCCGGGGTCCCCGTCGTTTCAGGGTGCAGCCTGGGCGTCCATCGCTCCATCCTCCCCCAAAGCCCGGCGCGGTCTCACATGCTGGGAGAGGGCAGAGGCGGAATGGTCTTGCCTTGGGGCTGGGGTGGTCCAGTGAGGGTTAAACCGCCTCTTGGGGAATAGGCTGCTTATTCTCTGGAGCAACCATTGTACCATGGAGCTTAGACTCGCTTCTGTTTCCCGGGAGGATGGAGCCTGGTGCTGGGGAGGGACAGTGGTTCGCTTGGGGCTGGAGGAGCAGCGTCGCTTTTCCCCCATGGAAGGGCTCACCATGGCTGTTGGAGCTTGGGGATCGCGGTGCAGCTCGCCAAATAAGCTCCTTTGCTGCCTCTCTCCTCAGAAGCTGCAAAGGAAACTGGATTTCTCCCCCCTCCCCTTAAATCTGGAAGCTGAAATCAATCACCTGTTTCCAATTTCTGTGCCCCGCAGATGTATTAGTCCATTCATATTAGTAGCCTGCACGGAATTTTGAAAGCAACGTCTTACTAAGATTGACATTGGACTCCCCGGCTCTTAAAGGAGAGGCTGTTCTGGCTTGGAATTAAAATATGTAAATAAACTCCAGCCACCAAATAACAATCCTGAAAATATGTATTCTGAGTAGGAAACCCTCCAGCAGGCTGAATCTCTGTGGAGACCGCTTATGCTTCTCAATGGGTCCTACTACAGATCAGATCCAAACAGAGGATTTGGTTGAAATACATGCTGGTTTTTGCAGCCACGCTTCCTGTGCTATGATCTGTCCTAGGGACTTGCTCTGTTTCAGGGCACAGCTAGGAACCCAAAGCTCTTTAGTGGCAGGCTGGGAACTGCCCCTGCTTGATCACTGTTCTGGCACTTCCATGGCAACTTAACATTACACCCTCTAAAGAGAGAGCCAGACTTTTCTCTTGAAGAAAGAAAAGTTTATTGTGCAAGATGCTAGTCTGGGTTCTGTAAAAGAAGGCACATCTCTAAGAACGAAAAAAGCCACGCGGCTGGATTCGTTCCAGATTGGTGTTAGCAAAGTTAGGACTTAGGTCAGGATTCAGTGATAGATCCTGGAATTGGATTGTACCCTCCAGCTTTAGGAAATTCAGTGATTGTCGTGTCGAGATGCTATCTCACTCCTGGGCACAGCTGCCAGGAGGGGGCGAGGGGAACCTTTCAGCATAGCAGTTCTTTCACAAGGATGGTTTAAACAAAACCGTATACCAGGAACTTCATGATCATTGTTATTTGCTGTAAAGCCAGGTGTTGTGATGGAATCACAGTCCAGGCATTACTGGTGGCTACTTCTGAGCACCTGTTTTATGATCCAGAAGGGATTTGTTCACATCAGTTCCTCGGACAAGAGCCACCCAGAAAGCATGTGTGAAAGCAAAGTGCTGCTGCACAATCATTGTGCATTAACGGTCACCTCTACCCAAGTGCTAAAGCTGAACTGAATATTTAATGTAAGTGGCAGATGGGAGGGTGCACTGCATCCCAAGAGAGCTAAATCAAACGTTCTGTAAACTAGTCAACCTGATTTTTCCCCCTGCTACCGTATGTCACATGGAGCTCTTATGAGTTAAACATTGTGAGAGAGAGCTGCTATGCTTAACATGGCTTAATACTTATTATGGCTGCGTTTAAACCTCTGAGGTTTTACTTGTTTGCAGCTGATCTTGGGTTGAAAACCAGCTACAAAGTGCATTCAAGAATTCAGATGCCTTGTGTGTAAATAGAAATTCACTCTCCTTGAATCAGTGTCTCTGACCCATTAGAATTCATTTAGTGATGCTGCAATTCAGTGCCTGTGACATTCAGACTGCTTCGTGGCAGTGAATTGTGGGATCCCCGCAGATACAGGATGTGCATAGATGTGATGTGATGACAACCCCCTCAGATGGGACAAATTATTGGGTACTACGCTTTTTAAAAACAATCCTCAGTTAAGCAGGGGAACATCCACTAGATGATCTAAAATGGGTCTCTTTCTGACTTCTCCCCTCCAATGTGTGTGCAGCTCCCATGGCCAGTTGTGCATGTGCGGCGGATCTGTCTAGTCTCCTTGGTTTTGCATCACTGATGGAATTAAGCAGAAGTCTGAGTATAAAGACGGCTTTTGTTTATTCCCAGTAATCAGCAGCAAGAAGAAGACTGTTCTTCAGGGGGCTGTCAGGAAAATCCCCCTGTTTGAAGTGGACACTTTAGGAAGATTTATTTGATATCTACTCTGTGCAGCAAATAAGAAATTAAGGGTCTATGAGGCATTTCGACCAAATATTTGAAAATGAGGAAACATGAAACCATGGCAATAGAAAGCACCACTAACCTTTGACAAATCCCCTCCCCCATTGCCTCCCCCAGCAACTCTCTGCAGTAAATACAGCACTGTGTCAACAGAGGTGTTCTGTTTGAATTGATTTTTCCCTCCTCTGCAAATTGTAGCTGAAAAGGCTTTTCCAGGTGGACAAAGGCACAGAACCAAATTGTGAAGCTGAGTGGGATGCTCCAATCTAGTGCTGCTATACAGAACAGGGGCCAGATTAAACTTCAGCAAAATCAAAGAGGGCTATAATTCAAAGGCAGAGCTTGCTAGAGTACTGTCCACAGCAGTATGATAGCGATTGATGTTTACCACTGGAATATCCTGCCCTATGCATGAATCTAGCTTGCTTGCTACGTATTCTTCTTATTATTATTCTCTGTTAGCTAACCTCACAAAGAGAGGGAGGAAAGAATGAGGAATTGAAATTGTCCTTCAATATGAAGAGATTGTTTCTGAAGTTTGACGCTGATCATTTTGACCTGCCCCACCTTTTAAAAATAAAAAAAGAAGACCGTATCTGATGCAGTGTCTAAAGCACAGTTTATATATTAATTACTCACGGCGCGGTGGTCATTTGACTTGAGATCCTCTGGCATCACACATGCAAAAACGTTACGTATGTCAGAAGTAAAGTGGGTAACAAGATTTTCTTTTACTCCGGGGGCTTAGATTCAGGCACTAAGAGAGAGATGTCTGCAGACCTTGATTCCTATGAAGGCCAACTTGGTAAACCTGTATGCTAAGGGGGTTGACCTGGAGACATAGTGGAGATCCTGCTGTTTTAACAATTCGGCGCTTGCTGTTAAAAGCCAGCTCCTGGCAGCTGGGCTGTGTTATGATGTGCTGTGGATGCTGGAAAGTCGTCACAGAAGCTGTCTGCTGGGACAATCTGTGTATCAAGTTGGGCAAAACATGAGTGCCTTTGAACTGGATTGATGTCCAAACAGAGCACGGTTTGCAATCCAAACTGCCAGTGGGGGCTGCCGCAGCGACCGTGATGTCCCTAGGGTGTGTATGAGGGACCTGCTACAGGGCAACACATGAAATGGGAGTTCCAGCAACGCTGTTAGGTTTGCAGATGCTCCCTTCTCCCAAAATCTACAGTCGTGTCCCAAGGGGCCATCTGTTATGTTGGGTGCTCCGCTTTGCAGCTGGCTTCCTGTGCTGGCTGCTCTACCTTGTCTATGGAAAGAGTTTTCTCGCTTTGCTGTACATTCAATGTCATCCTGTGTTGTTTCCAGGGAATTTGTTCCAGGGCCAGCGTAGACATTTGCATTCATTAACTGAGGCCATGGACTAACCGTCCTCCTACTACTACTCTCCTCCCCACATCCCCACCAAATGTTCCTTTGTTCCCATGGCAGGCAGGACTCCTGTTGCCTTTGTTCCTGCTTTCCAGCTGAAAGACACTTATGGGCATAGAGCTCTTCCAGCCAACAGGGCTCTAATGGGCACACAGGTTTCTCTGTGGATGAGCTGAAGAATGGGTAGAGGGAAGGAGAGGGAGTTCCTACGGGGACGGGGTGATCTAGCCTTCGGTGCAGTGCATTCCTCCGGCACTGTTTTCAAAGCAAAATCTGCATCCAAGTGCATGGGAAGAAAGGGGCTGGCTCTTTGTCTCTGAAAGGACCCGTCTGACTTCAGAGCTGCTCAGGCAGATCGCACAGCAGCAGCAATTCTGTGGCTGTCACCGTCAGACATCATCCTTCCCTTCTTTTGCCAAGCATCTCTCCCCACGCTGCCTCCCACGGCAGATACAGGCTTTGCCATGCAGTTGCATTTAAATGCAGGTGAAAGGCGGCAGTGTCACCACGGCACATTCATTTTACGGCCCAAAGCTCGAGATGATTAGTCATTAAACAAAAAATAAAACCCAGCCCCTAGTACCGAAATAGGCTACAGTTCATGTTAGAAGAAATCAACATCCTCCTGATCTGCTGTCGCTGCTAATGGGAAAATACATGCAAGTTAGGGCTCCGTCCTGAACTGGCAAATCTTCCAGGACAAAACCTCTGGGAGAGCCAAAACAATAATGCGATCAGTCTAACAGCATATTGGGAAAGAGCTTTGCTTGGCCTCCCCTACCATTGTAATTCCTGTTTTTCTTTGACCGGTCTTTGGGTGAGACTCTGACAGTTTGACTAGCTGTGATGATTTAGTATAACAGAAGAGGCATTTCTGAGAGCAGGATAAACCCTGTATGCAGGGAATCCTTCTTTTGGGAAATCTGGAGACGTTCTACTGATCAGGGCAAGACCTGTCCAAATAACATGATTGAGGGGGTGGCAGTATATTTATTTATTTTATATTATTATTATTTTGAGAGAGTGTGTTCCTGCTTGTTGACTGCCAGTGACTGGGTTGAGTTCTTCATATCAGCTGACATATTATTTCATTCCAGGTTCCAAGTATTTCTTCGAAGAATGTTAGGTTTCCATGTAAGAATATAGACACTGGCTACATCTTAAGGTACCTCTTGAAGCCAAGGTACAATGCAGACTACATTAGCTTGACAAAGGGTTGGCTGGGAGCTTTCCAGCAGACCAGCTCCTGTGAAAGCATTTAATCTGGTATTAACACGCTGCCTGGTTAGAACTGCTACTTCCTTTTTAAATTTGAGACCATCCGCCCTCAGATTCTGTAATGCAATT